CAAATTTCACTCTCGCCGGTGCCACCCTGCCAGCGACACCGTGGAAAGATTCGTGGATGCGAAAATCTTGCCTATAAATAGTGTTGCTCACTGCGAGTTGTCTTGCTGTTCATTTTAAATAAAGTAGAGCAAGTAGCTAATCAGTGTCTGCTCGTTTATTCAAATTAAGTTGCAACGCCCTGCCCCTCCCCCGACGACAGTTATATTACGAACCGTCACATTTGACTCACTTCATAACATCATCACCAATTCTGAAACCGCGGGTTTCATTGCGGGTGGGTCATGGGCGGATGAGAGTGAAATCATTAAGAAGTTTTTCAATAAAGACACGGAACAGTCATTCATTAAGTAAAACAAAACGAACGTGCATCACTCTTATTTTTGGTTTGCAACAACTTATAACTCTTCAAGGAAAACATGCCTTGAGAACCTCCTCGTGGTCATAATTTAAAAAACAAAGGAAAAAACCTATGCAAAATTGTTTGGCATTCTGAACACAAATTTATTCAGATAAAATTGTTTTGCAACATTATGTTGGAAATTTGTATTATTACGTTATTAATATAAAAACGTCCTTTTGTGTAATTTAATGGAAGCAGCCTGATACTTATGAGTTCATTTTAATCTTTATAATGTATCATATGCGGTTCCCTGTATATTTTAGATAGATAGTTTTATTTAATGTCATGTCAGCATCTAAGGCTATGGCAAATATTCACAAAAATACAAATATCATAAATACCCCTTTATATTTTTACAGCATTAGATTTTTACATTTTATATACAGATTTTTTTTATATATATATCTCAATTAATAAACATCGAATTGAACTGAATAGCTAATACATTGGCACTGAACCACTGGCTTGTGAATAAATCGAATCGTGAAATTTGTCAATACCTAGCCCTACAACCAACTACAATAATAATTAAATATTCACAATCTATCAAGAAATACAGAAAGTCACAAACTGATGCCTTACCATTAAATGCAGCTCCACCTGCCAGTACACATACTGTTCTGCTAAGTTAACAATCAGTTTGTTGTTTTAGTTCCTCTTTTACAGGCACCAGCTGTCTTTATAGCATATGATTCAGACATTGTAAATGTGTGGTTGTTCACTGGATAAATATTAAACAAACACTTTATCAAGGACTTATTAAAGAAATAATGATCCATGTTTATTACACACAAGCAAGCCATTTACTTCTGTTAACATTACTGATTGTTTAAAAACAACAGCTTTAAAAAAATTATAATAACAATCTGAATATTTCAGCACAGCAATCTCTCTCTTCCGCAGACTGCCGCCTGGTCTCGGGTTTGTTCATAAATTACAACTGTTCATCATTCGAGGCAATTTGGTGCGTAATAATATCTTGGCTTTGATGGAGCTGCTGACTAATTGATGGATTACTTTATTTTGGAATAGCGGAAACTGCCAAGCCGGAGTTGCGGTAGTAAATCTCTCCGCAATGAAAGAAAGCATCACATTTACACTGGACTTTAATCAGCGCCTAATGCAAGAGTTTCAGAGACCCACCATCAGCCCGGTTTACACAGCAGATGGTTAGGGCAAAGAATCTGTCATTTCTGACACACCTGCTGAGAGACCCCTGTCAGATTCATCATAATCCATAACAGCACTGATTTAAGACTGTTATTAGTGTAAACAAAATTTGCATGTAACGACTCATTTGAGATGATTATCAAGAAACAAAATCCAATAGCAAATGCTGTTTAGATGGCATTTTGAATCCTAAAATGAGTCAATTTTCTTAGGGACAAAATCTGCAAAATTGTTTAAAATAGATTCAAAGATACAAACAGAAGTTCATTGATTGTGCTGCTGTATAAGAAATACAATGCAGAACTCGCATTAAAGACTAGAAGAGACACTACAGCTATTTAAAATTCTTAAACAGTGGGAAGTGGGTCAGGTTACATGCTAAAATGCAGAAGAAATATGTAAATACAGAAAGTGTGTGCAACAACAGATGGGAGAAGTTTGACATGTTTAAAAAGAGCAGTATACTCATGAGTTTCACTATTTCACTTTCATCGCTGGGTTAAGTAATGGGCATCATACAGATTAGAAAAACATTTATATCCAGAACTGCACTAGCATTTCACCCCAATTTGTGTCTCCATCTCTCTCCAACACACTCAAGAATTGCTCTCTGTAACTGTATATGAGGCCATTAATACAAAGTGAGAGGGCATCCCTTCTCTATATGAGATGAATGGCAGGTTTGCACTGGATTGTGGGATTGACAACATAGGAAGAATCAAAATGAGTGCTGAAATTTACGCAAATGAAAAGTAAATGTCTTGCCATCCATGACATCTATTACCAATGCTGGAATTTCTAGATCAGTGCTTAAAATCACATTGTTTCATATTACTATTCAAAATAAATATAACGAAAGGTTGGGTTCAGAAAAATCTACAAATGTTTTTTTTTTTAAAAAAAATAGGCTAATTATTACCATTTTAAATAGCTGGTTTTCTACTAATATATGTAAAATAATTTATTCCTTTTGATGCAAATTTTTATCATAATTATTCCAGTGTCACATGATCCTTCAGAAATCATTCTAATATGATGAATTGCTGCTCATTATAAAACGGTTAGTTCCAATCCTTGATTCTGATTGGTCAAAAGCTGTTTTGTTCACATTAAAACATGGCTATGACCGCTTCAACCCATAGATATATCTACGGCTTCACCCAACAGTAGCAACCACTCTTGGAAAACACATGTTTGATGTCAGTGAAATTGTTCATTGTAGACTAGTATTGTGAGAGATCAAGCATTTTCCTTTTCATTCATAAAAAAAAAAAAAACAGTTTGAAAGTCCGCTGCGATATCTTGTACTTTTAACAGTTTTCCTGTGCTGATAGTAGTCAGTTGCTCTTCCTTCTCCATGATCACAAGTTTGAGTCCTTTCAATGTATTAAAAGTTTCTCTACTGACTGACTCACTCATAAACACAGTCTTTGCCACCATCTATTCGCGAAGTACTTTATGTAACTTAACGGCCAGGGACAATTTTTTCCAGCGGAAGGAAGGATTTTACTTAATTAAAGTTGCAGATACATATTTTTTGGCTTTAATATTTGTATTGTGTGGTAACCAATGTATAAAAGCAAGTGCTGTATCGTGCTGTATCGTGAATAAGTCACAGCTGAAGGGCGTTGTTAGACAGGATGTGAAGCGGAGCAGAGCACAGCCTCTCATACCTTTATTGCTTACATAAACATTTATGATTATTATCAATGATGAAAACGGTTGTGCACATTTTTTTAGGATTCTTTGATGAATAGAACAGCATTTATTTGAAATAGAATTTTTGTAACATTATATATGTCTTTACTGTCACTTTTGATCAATTTAATGCATCCTAATTGAATAAATGTATTCATTTCTTTAAGTTCTTTCCCCCAAAAAATTGTTATTGAACCGATTCTTATGATTGGTAGTACAATGTTGCAAAAGCTTTCTGTTTCAGTAAAAAAATGCTTTTCTTTTGAACTTTCTAGTCATCAAAGAATCATGAAAAAAAATGTTTTACACAACCATTTTCAACATTGATAAAAAATCTAATATTTCTTGAGCTTCAAATCATCATTTTAGAATGCTTTCTTAAGGATCACATGACACTGAAGACCGAGTAATAATGCTAAAAAAATTCAGCTTTGCATCACAGGAATAAATTACATTCTAAAATATATTCAAATAGAATATATGAATAGAATTTATATATAAAGGAAATGTATACTGCGGGTCAAAAGTTTTCAGTCGGTCTGTATACATTTTGTTTAACGTTTTTTATAAGAGGGTGTCTTATGCTTGCTATACATTAAATATACATTTAAATAATTCAATATCAAATTAACACAATTTCTGTATACACTAAAAAGCCAATAGATTCAACCACCACCTGTGCTGCATTTGCTAAGTGGCAGAGAAGGCGTTTTGGATTGTATTAAGCAGATTTCTTCCATGCCAGTGGACACATATGGTCGGTCACATGAAATGTGAAACGGGTGTGTGTAAAACACTGGGGATTCTCCAGCTCTGATGTGTCAAAGTGAAGTCAGTTCCTACAAATTCAACATTTTTTTCCCAATAAATGACCAGCTGGGGCCCAGAGCTGATAACACCACACAGCCACCGTTCCGCTTCACAGCCGCAACACACAGACCAACATGTCAGCTGTGCCTAATTCCTGCAATGCAGCAACCCATTCAACACGTCTGCGTGAACGCGATCATGATAGCGGCTCAGTTTCTGGCAAAGAGTGCCCCTGCATCGCAGCACTGCGCGTGCGCACAACAACTTCCCACTATCTGGCAGGATACGGGAGGTGTAGAGGGCGCATGCGCGGCAAGATCCTTCCATTCCATTCACAGTCAATGCGGGATCAGTATTTAGCAATGCATGTGTCACTGATACTCAGGCCTCTGCCCAAAAACAACTTGCAAGCATTAACAACAATACTCAAGTACTGCATTGAATCTAACAGGGCACCATAACCCAAAACGCATCTTTCAAAGCCATTCTGTGCGTATGACATCACAAATGGCCGTGCTAAATATATTTATAAAAACATAAACACAACAACATGAAGCAGGTGTTAGAGCCAGTCTGCTCATCAACTTGACAGTTGTCAAAAGAATCACTGCTTTGACCACAAAACCCTCAGAAGTTCGTATGTTAAAATGTTTAACTATTAAGACGCAAAAATGTGCTGCTAAAACCAGGATAAATAGCTGTTTTTGTATTATATAAGAGTCATAAAGTGATCAGGCTGGCAAGCGCAACAAGGGGCTAAGCTAGTTAGCACTGCAACAGCAGCCAGAAACAAGCTCAAATATTACCGACACATATCTTCTAAACGCACTGTTCTCCCTCTTACAAAGCGAATCAAGAGGTAAAACAGAAATATATGACATCCCCTGGTGTGTTGTGGTGTGTTTGGGTTAATAAACTTACCTTTTTATGAAGGTAAGCTGTTTTGCCGTATCGGATATTTTTTCTATGGAGCGGCTTCACGTCCGGGTTAAATGAATGACGGAGGACGGGAGTGCGCACGCACTCGGGTGCGAGCACTGCGCGATTGCTACAAAATCAGTGTAACATGCGAGTGTGATTATTTTTTTAAAGCACAGAATCATATAATTCGAATCTGATTTCATGTTTTTGTCCCTGTCATCTGTCAATTTCGGTGAAATGTATGAGTGCAGGTTTTGCCTATCCCCTTCCATGTATTTTCATAGATTCAAATAAGTCTTTTTATTTTATTTCGCTTTTATTTGGTTTACAAGCCTCTATATTTCTATTGTATTCTTGTTATTTATCGGTCACTGTTTTGTTTGTGTACTTGTAGCCTACATGTTAATGCATGTAAAACAAAATAATATTATATTTTGGTTACACTTTATTTTGATAGTCACTTTAGACATTCTACTACGCTATCTATAAGTAACTTTTCAACTACCTATGTCAACTAACTGTAATTAGACTATTAGTAGGCTATAGTAGACAGTCAGTAGACTGTTAGGGTTAAGTGTTATAGGGTTCGGGTTAGGAGACCAAGTTCACTAGTAGCTAGTTACTTATAGTAGAAAGTAGAAAGTAGTCAGAAAGACCAACAAAATAAAGTGTTAGCAGATAATAAGCAGACAGTCTACTAATACTCTAATGAGAGTAGTTAGATATAGTTAATTAGTTAGTTAAATGTCTAAAGTGGACTATCAAAATAAAGTGTTACCTATATTTTTAAAGTTGAATTTAGGCTCATTTAAATGTGGTTCCCTCTATCATGGCAATAACTGCTGTACGTGATTCAATTTAAAAAACACACTCTTTTCCCTATTGTTTAGGCTATATTAATGACAATAATAACATGTTTGTCTGTTGTGATTTTTCGATGAACATTTGAATTCCTTTCAATTAACAGATTTTCTTACAGTAGGCTATACAGTTGGCAGTGTTTATGAGGGGAAATATTCATTGCTGCTTGATTGCATGCGATAATTATCACAAATGAATAAGCGATTTCTCTCTCTCTCTCTCTCTCTCACACACACCACAGTTTATCATTTTTTCTATCACACAATGTCATTATTTGAAGGTCATTGGTGTGTTTGACTACAGGTTATGTTTTTCTCCTAATACTGTGAAGTTTATTGTGGTGTTTGGGTGTTTTTGATGCGTGTGTTCTTCTTCCAATCTAGGCTCTGAAGGGAGACGTGAATCAGCACCAGCAGATGTTCATGAAAATATGTATAAAAAAAGAGTTGGAAGGAAGAAAAAACGGAATAGTATTTAAAAACACAAGGGAGATTTAATAAAAATTATGCATAGCTTCACAAACATGAACATCTCTGTTTGTTCAACCAAAATGGCCACCTATTTTTACTATTATTTTTGTAATCCTAAAAACTGTCTCTAAAAAAATGCTGGGTTGTTTTAACCCAACTTTGGGTCAAATATGGACAAACCCAGCCACTGGGTTAAATTTTTTCATTAAATTTTTAACCCAATGTTTGGGTTTGTCCATATTTGACCCAAAGTTGGGTTAACACAACCCAGCATTTTTAGAGCGTGTATAAAATGTGCTATATAAATAAACTTGCCATGCCTGTGGGAATATTGCAATAATTTGTAAAACTCAAACTATCCATTTTTGATGGTGAAAAAATCTAAACATGTGTGTGAAATTTTGTTAAATTCTATTATTGTAAAGAAATATCACAAGAGCATTATATATATATAATATATATATATATATTAGGGCTGTGCAAAAATTAATTGCGATTAATCGCATCCAAAATAAAAGTCTGTGTTTACATAATATATTTGTGTGTGCTGTATATAATTATTTTGTATATATAAATACACACACATGCATGTACATTAAGAAAATGTGTTATTCATATATAAAATATTTATATTTATATAATATAGATTATGTATTTATAAATATATACAGAATTTAAGCGCAAATAATTCTTAAATATATGCATGCATGCATAGGTATTTATACAAAATAATTATATACAGCACACACAAATATATTATGTAAACACAGACTTTTATTTTGGATGCGATTAATCGCAATTAACTTTTGCACAGCCCTAATATATATATATATATATATATATATATATATATATATATCTGGGTAAATATGTCTGGGTTTCAGCCCAGCCCTGCTGATATTCGTAATTACATTTTTCAGAACGGCAACTCAACTGTTTGTCTGTATTACCTGAACAAGTCGGTCTACCCTTATGATCCCATTAACCATGGTAATTGTGCTCTAGGAAACTAGAGTCCTTGATATCTGAAACCCGTTTAGAGTTCTCTGTTGTTAATATGTGACACCAATTAAAGCGTGCAGGGCCAGTGTATCCCATCCAAAAATGACACAGTGTTGACAGTACTTGACACTCACGCAGCATTAACTGAGGGGGTTTGAAGAGAGTGAAAATCACATGTGAATGCAGTGATCAAACATAAAGTACACCGCTGAAATGTTCATGCTATCGAGATGAATGTGATAATGTTTTGATATTCATAATATTTCATCGTCAAGCATCTCTTTGAATCAACGTGACTCAAACTGGTTTCCATTTACTTTCTTAATCTAAATTCCTGCCCCCTGGTCTTATTGTGAGCAAATCATCGGTGCATATTATTCCAAAGAAAACAAAATCTGTCTTCTTAACATTTCATCAAAATATAATAACTTGCTTTGTTTTTCAAACGACTTTCAAATGACTACTTTTCGGCTGACATCACCAAGGAGGTCTATAATACTTAGAGAAAGCTATCCGTTGGCATTCCCATTCATCTCAATGGCAGTTCCTTGGCTGTCTGCCATATTTGCTCTAGGCACTCAACTCTGGCAACTTTCTTTTTTTGCCAATCACTTATAAATGTCATATGCTAATCACATTTTTACTTCACTTTTTTACATTTCAATTACTTTTTGTCATTGGTTGATGACATCACAAGAATGAGCATGGTCGCAAAATCATCAATATAATGACTTTCTTGAGCTGTGACATTAAGGGCTATAAACCCATTTCAAAGTTTAGCTCTACGACAAACGCGTACAAACATTTTGGACCAGAATTTTGTAAATTTACTAATTTTGTAAATGTATTTTTCATGTATATATACTTTATGGTGTTATTTTCCGATTTGATCAAGAATGTAAACCAGTGCCAACGCTGTTTGTGTGTATAGTAGCCAGTCAGTTCGATGCTATTGTGTAAAACAAACCTCTTAAAAAAAGGCAAATTACCATTCCGTTTAGTAAGAGCCGTGTGTGGTAAGGTTCTGCTTGACTCTCTTCATCGCCGCTTTCTCGGTCTGATTCTGGCTCATATGATACTGCAGTATCCACACTATTATGTACATTCGACAGGAACACAACTCTCGCCCGTAAAGGTAATGGGCGTGAATTTTCCGGACAACGTGCACTACGCAGTTTAGCCAATCACAACACACCAGCCCAAACTAACCAATCTGAGCCCACTGCCTGTTTCTGAGAGAGTGGCTTCATAGAGTCAGGATGTAAACCGGTCGTTCAAATGACAGAGGAGAAAGTGGCTTACAATAAAGGTGAAATTTATGAAAAATAAGTTTTTAAAAAAAAAGAAAAACCACAAAAACATGTTATATTGCACCCCATAAACACAATCATGCAAAGAAAAAAAAATAGTAAACCACCCCTTTAAAAAGATCTTATTGTGCTCAAGAAGATGAACGTCTTCAGGTTTGGGTGAACTAACCCTTTTAAGTTTTTTTTTCAGAGCCCTTTGTTTTGCTGACAAAAATAAATAACATAAAATAAAATCGGAATACAAAGCCAATTCCGAATGAACGTCAAAGCAGAAAGATTTAGTTATTTGCCCCAATAGTGCAGTCCTGGCATTAAGCAAAAACAGACCACTTGTTTCCATTCTGGCATGTACTATTCATGATCCAATAACAAAAAGAAAAAAAAACTGGGATTCTCAAAGGACAAAATCAAGTCCCGCCCTACATTTTTTCTCATTGAATATTCTGTTTCGCTATAATTACATTATGGAATGATTGGTTGCAAATCCAGTTTTATGCTGACTGCAAACAACAAGGTAGGCTACTTTCTTATTCTCTGTTGGTCACCAGTCCCAGCCACAGCATTAAAAGTGACCTTTTGGAACAATGTTATCCATTATGTATGTATGTGTATGTGTGTGTGTGTGTGTGTGTGTGTGTGAATGCATTGTTATCAGTGTGTCTACAATCCAGGGTTGTAATGTAATCAGACATAAATAAGCATGAGGAAGTCACAGCTCGACGGGGGATGGAGGAGAGAAAATAAAGGCAGTGTAATTAAAGCAGCAGTACCCTCACACATATTAACCAGGGAATATGTGACTGAGTGTATGATTTACAAACACCCACCATTTCCAACCCACATGTCTGTGTATCACTTACCATTCCATTGCCCCATGCAAAAATAATTAAGCATCTTCAGAGAGGAATTGGTTTACCTGCACATTACATTGAGAAATGTAATGCTAGCTCGCACTGGGGACCTGGAGGAATGAACAGAGATGGGCGAGAGATGAAGAAATTATGGGAAGAGAGGGAGGTAGAAATGAGAAAGATGGCTCATCTCTGATGCACGGTCCCACCTGTGCATATTAGCATCATCACTATTTATTTTAATGTGAATGACAACACAGGCTCATATTGTCATAGTTTTAAGAGTCCAAAGATGAAGATGAGTCAAAAGTTCCAATCCAAAGGAATTTAATAAATAATAAACTTGAAAAATCCAACATAGTGCAACAGTGTGTTTACACACAAGCAATAGCCGAGACTGAACAGAGGAAATCAAGGACCTTAAGTAGAAACTAAAAGACTAAGAGGTGTTATGATCAAATTAAATGTCATGGTAACTGATAAGATTGGGAAACTTGAACAAAGGAAACAGGTGACTGATGACAAACAAACTCAAAGGCTTCATCCGAAATCACTTACAGTACTTCCCTATTATATAGTATGTGACAAA